CTGTAGGATGGGTCTGATGTGGCGTAGGGGGAGTGGACTGAACTTGCTGTGCTTGAGAAAATCATACAGGTTCTGCTCCAGCATCTCAAACACCAGGCAGGTGTGGCCCTTATGTTGGAAGCATTCATACGAACGCACAAAGTTATACTCATCTGCGTTCTCTGCACTCAGTCGGTTCAGGATGCCGACCTATAAAAGAGAGAGAAACATGTGACTTGCTAATACATGCTGGTAAGCACATATAATCAATCAATCAATCAAGATTTATTTATATAGCACCTTAGAACAACCAAGGGTTGACCAAAGTGCTTCACAATAGGAAAGCAAATCAAACATACACAAACAACAAACACAAGACAAGAACAACAGTTTCAGTTAAAGGCTAGATCAAACAAGTATGTTTTTAGCTTGGTTTTGAAGAGAGGCAGGTCAGTGGTGGTGCGTAGCTCAGAGGGCAGTGCATTCCAAAGTTTGGGACCTACTACTGCAAATGATCGGTCACCCCACTGTTTGCTCCTGGATCGGGGGACCTATAGCAGGTGCTGACCAGCAAAGCGGAGAGCTCTGCCGGGTTGGTGGAGCTTCAGGGTTTCGCTTATGTAGGTGGGTGCAAGACCATTTATTGCATTGAAGACGAATAATATAGTTTTAAACTGGATCCTAAATTGGAGAGGTAGCCAGTGAAGGGAGTAAAGTATAGGTGTGATGTGATCATGTTTACGGGTGTTAGTTAGGAGCCTGGCAGCAGCATTTTGTACCAGTTGTAGGCGGTGGAGAGATGCTTGGCTAAGTCCAATGTACAGTGTATTGCAATAATCCAGCCTTGCTCTAATATAACACCATGAAATATAAGAAGGAAGTAAGTTTTGGAAAATGTGAAACAAAATGAAATAACAGTTGCGGAGGTTTCTGCATTAACACATGTAAACACCACACAATTATCCCATTCTTACAATGTAAGGGATTTTTTCCAACACAAATTGAGGGGAACAATGTTGATAAACTGGTTTTAGATGTAACGAAAAATAATTAACAGTATATTTATGGATATTTTTCTATATAAATAAATCAGGACTCAAGCCAACAACGGGGTTAAAGAATGATAAATGAATTACTCGGAATACTTCACATTCAGAGGTGCTTAACCAATGGATTCAACATGCAAAACAAGAGGTGCTCTGGTGAGACAGTCACCACTGCAGAGAGGTTACTTATCAGACAGGAAACAAATATTACCTCAATTTGGCCCTGACGAGCATACGAAGGATGGTTTTTGAGGATCTTGATTGCCACAATCTCATTGGTGCCCCTCTTCCAACATTTGGCTACTTGTCCAAACGTGCCTCTTCCTAGGAACTCCAGCACTTCATAGCTACAGGACACTGAGCAGAGGATCTCATGTTGCACCAACTGATAATCTCCTTCGCCATTGGAGCTACTGCTTTTAGTGGTTGGAGCAGAGTGGGGTATCGACTGGCCTGTGCCCCCTCCTCCACCGCCGCCTGTACGGGTGGAGTAAGTTGCAGCAGGAGCTGAGAGCTCCTCTAATATTTGGACACTGCCACACCCACTCCCGCTGCCTTCATTGGCCTCCTCCATTTTTCTCTTCTGCCCGTGCCGGTGCCCCCTCGTTTCAGAGGATGTCTCCGCATGAGCATAAGAGGAGGATGTTGCCTGCTCAGTGACACGTCGACTGGAACCACGTGGAAGACTGCCAGTGCTGTCAGCTGCCCGCACCACCACTTGACCCCTGGAGCCAGGAGCTGCAGGGGGGAAGACCAGGGATGGTGCGAAGGGTGGCACAGCCATTGCAGGTGCAAAGGTGTATGCTGACTGGCCTGCTATGGAGCTGTAGGCTTCAGTGGTGGATACATCCCAAACATTGCTCTCCACCTTCAGCTTCTTCACGCGGCAAAAGGCACTGGAGGAGATGGAGGGGGGGGAGAAGACCTGCAGCTGAGAGCTCATAGCTGAAAAGATAGGGATGAAAATTTAATTCTAAAAATTATGAAAATATTTGTAGCAATAATACAATTATAAATAAACCTTAAAATCAATGTTAGTATATCACATTGCTGCAAACATTCCGTTTAAATACAATAGCCCATTTACATAAATGTGGAATAAACATGAGACCACTAAGCAGAGGCCCAAAGATCAACAGTTTGTTTCAAACAAGTTCTCCCCACTTGACAGACACACCCACTACGAAACAAACGTTTTCCCTTTTGAGAAACCTGAAGTCCAAAGTTGAACTCATTCTTGGAGCTATAGCCTCTGCTGGCAAATAATATGTTTAATATGGTAATATTATTATTCATGTTGGTGAAAAAAACCCAGTTACACATATCTGGAGTTAAAAATTTTAGGTTGACTTGGTGCGTGCATATCATAGACAATATCAGACTTTGCAGTTTTCTCTGGGCTCTAATCTTCTAATCTGACCAGTGGTGACATGTACAACAACATTTCTAGGGAAGGCATGTTCTAATGAAAAAAAAAAACACATCTATGCTAGATGGTGCAGCTCTCATATATAAAACTTGAGAGAGTTGCCAGGAAGCAAACACAAACAATAAATAATTAACTAAATATAATTTTCATTAAAAGCAACATTTCAGATGTACAATAAATAGGTATAGTATCTTTATATTCCCTTGCGTTTATATTGCATGATTACCTTTTCATTACTTTTACTGATGTCTGTTCTTTATTTGTATCTTATAATACTTATGCTTGTGCACAGTAAGGATGTACTAACCCACAGCTATCTACCTCAGATTTGTGAGGTAGACGTCAGATGTCATATCTTAATTATATGACGTCTGGCGTTGGCTGATATGGACTTTATTATTTTGATATCATTTTTTGGCCCTTTCAATCAGCGTGATACAACTATCATTGAAGACTCAAAAAACAGGGAAATTAAATACGGACTATTGATTACATATTAGTCTGCTCTCGTGGAAATCTATATTAATCAATGATATTATAACTGATCATCAAATTGGTTAATTCTGTGTTTCTGCATGGTATGCAAGAAGAATAAAGACTGTACCTGTTATATATACACATTGGATATTAGCTTGAAAAATGAGAAACAGATTATGATACATTTTCAGAAAAAATTAGTACAACTGACCCAGTTGAGACTAAGAAAGACAAATGAGAGGTGTGTATCTGGAATGCTTCAGGAAAAAGAGATGATTGGAAGCACAATGTTGACATCGATTACAGTACGAGATGTGCATCTGAGCAATGTCTCAGTAGAGTTCATTGCTGCTTCTTTCTAAGAAAGACCCTTTGTACGGTGCTCGACCCCTCTTATTGTTCTGTTTGGGTGGGGTGCAGAGGGGAATGTGGGGAAGTTATGTGTTTGGGAACAGGCTGTGTTTTTCCTGATTTACAGTCCTGACATTCCGTTTCAAAGAAAAGCCATAAAACCTGATCACAAACGTGTAGCTCACATCCATTAATGCAAACACACTGCGTTCAGCTGGGACTTTAAGTGTAAAGTGGATCAGCATCTGATGGGTGTGATTCAAAAGAAACTACAATTTCCAGGGAGGAGAAACTGAAGAGAAAGAGCAGCAGTGGTGTGTTCACTGACAGCAGGGTTTCTGTGATGGACCACGGTGAAAGCTAAGCTGCGTTAGCCGCTTTTGGTCAATATGATCACATCGCTGCCAGAAAATAGTTTCAATGTAACGTGTGGCTGTCAGTGTGCTGACCACAGACATTTCCACTCCACTGACACACACACACACACACACACACACACACACACACACACACACACACACAGCCAGACCAGGTCGACAAGGCAATGCTACATAGCTCGCTAATGCTAAAAAGCCGACGCTTCAACTTTCTGAAAAATATGTGGTTGAAAATTTTACCACTATCCTGAAAGAAATACACTGAAAAGACCCAGCTCGCGTAGAAAGCAACAGAAGAGGCGTCTGTGGTTGTAACATACCGGATTGGGTGAATTGCAGCGTCGAAAATCGGCTTCGTTCAAGGTTTAAATCCCACTGCAGTCTGCTGCTAGACCAGCGTTATCCGATTAGCTCCCGCTAGCTAGCTACCGTTAGCTGCTCGCTAGGCCTGCATTGTTTCTCCAGTCGGTGAGGAGCCAGGCGGCAGGAGGAGACGTCACAAACCTGAAGGAAAGCACACAGGTTGCATCGTCCCGTGGAATTTAATCCCTACGTCGTAAAAATCTGTACATATGTGGATTAAAACAGAATAAATTCTGCGCTAAAAGCGTCTGTGTGGAGGCAGCGAGAGCCACCGTTCACCGGAACAAACCACGTCCTTACACCAGCTGCTAGGCTTACGGTAGTTCCGCTCTCTACCGTAATTACCGTAGTTTCCGCAAGAGATGCACGCTAACATTGACGTTGTTTTTTATCAGGATTAAGAGAAAAAACCGCATAAAGTAGAAATATAATCAGAGTTACAACTGTAACACGATCGAGGGCTGAAGGAGCGTCTGAGACTCGTTTGGGATCGTTTTTAGAAACAAAGGTTAAAAGGTAACGAAAGGTTTTACGGTAAAAAGAAAAAAGAGAAAAAAGGAACGTGACGTAATTTGGGAAAAATACACCAGTAATTTTCCGGCAGGCCTGACTCACTCACACACACACATTAATATGATTTATATGATTTATTATTTCAGTTAATAGTTATTCACTAGAAATTCTGTGAACACCATATCTCAGGAATGTGAAATAAGGTGGAAAAAGGTCTGGTATCCACCCCCCTGATCTGGATCCCCAACAAAATGTAGTTAGTTCTTCCCTGACCCATACCACATCCTTCCATCGTGTATCATAAAAAAGTGATCTATAAGCTCATCTTCTCTTACAATTCTTAGGGTTAGCATACATCACCATACCCTTTTCTCCACCACACTTTCTTTGGCAAAAAGAACATGGCATGTAACAACTTTGCTTTAATAAACCATGGGAGGAATAAATCAATCAAGCAAAAATAAGTTAAAGTGCAAATTTTCTTTTTATTCTGATTTCATTTTACAGCAGAAATTATGTAAAGCATTCAGAAGACATTTTCCACATATAAGGGCAATATTCAAAACACTTTGCATGGCCTCAGCAACAAAATATTCTTTTAAAAACATCAACAATTTAGTGATGCTTGTGCATGCACATTTGTTAAATAAAAAGAAAGTAAAAACTAGGCTACAAAATAAAAGAGGGATGAAAGACTGTGGTAGGCATGGAGAACACAACAGCAGGCAAGGTGGGAATAAAGCAGGAGATGAGAGAGAGAGAGAGAGAGAGGGAGGGAGAGAGGGTGAAAGAAGAGAAAGGCAAGGAGAGGTCAAGCCATAGATTATCTATAAGGATCTACCATTCTAGCATGCAATGTGGTGTTTGGCCACGCCCTCTCAAAACAAGGCCTGAAAGGTTATACCATTCATTTCTAAGCGGACTCATGAGAACAGAAGCCATCACTGTGCATGTTTACCAGCTGTCTACTATGGCAATATTTCTTTCTTTCTTTTTTTTTTTTAAAACTTGTTTTTTAACACTACATACTCTTTTTACAGTCACCATCCTCTCCGAAAACATGAACATATTGATGGATTTTCAGCAATCTGTGTGTTTCGTATTGTGTGTGTATGTGTGTATTTTGTGTGTGTTGACAGGCGCAAGCATTTGAAGTTGGTGTGTGTGTGTTTGTATCTGTGTATGTACACAATATATAAAGCAGTGTTTTTTAGTTGTGCTGATGTGAGAGGAGGGGCAGTTTAAGAGGGGATTGGAGTGATATTGTAGCTGAGTGCTTTTGACAGCGCCGTCCTAACCATGGCTGTCCCTCAGTGTGATGAAGATTCAGAAAACATGTGAAACACACATAATAGAGATCTTCCAATTGTAAGAATTTGAATATACTCTTCTTCCAACTTCTTTTCTTTTTTTTTTGAATTAAGATAATTGAGGTGATACATGGCCATTAGCTATTCTTGCATTAAGAATCCTTTGTATTAAGAATCTTGTGCGTTTAAGACAAGCGCATGTGTATAAATACAAACATCATATTAATTACTTTGAATTTAGTTTATATCCAAGCAAAATCCTATAAAATAAAGGATTTAGAGATTTTTTGTCCTTGTAGAAAAAGTGATGCAAGCTACAGCTAGGAAACAGGAAACAGATCGTTTGCTGTTTCAAAGTGGGGCTGGTACATCTGTGGAGGGGTTTTTTTGTAATCAAGAGCGTGATTTGAAAGTTTGTGGATACTTAATAGTGAATGAACAACTGGAGAATCCCTAATATTGTCAAGTTTGTTCACATACACATGAGTACACAAATGTACACTGTCATCAGTGGTACAACTCTGTGTCAGCAAATATTACACTCCACATACCATCTCCCTGTTCTTCAACCCTGAGTAAAATCTAAGGGAGAGATTTAATTGTTCCCAAAGACATAAGCACAGAGAGAAAGGGTGTGGCTTTTTTGTGTCTGAATGTGTACATTTGTGTTTGACTGTATGTGTAAAATGTGTTAGTGAAAGAGACAGACACAAAGAAAGAAAGAAAGAAAGAAAGAAAGAAAGAAAGAAAGTGTGTATGACAGTTTTTTTGTTCTGGAAAACTGCTGGGTAACGCTTTCACTTTATGCTGCAAGAACGTTTTTTGAGGAAAGACAAGACAAAGCGAGTCCATGCAAGAAAAACACATCTTCTTCCCGACAGCGACACTGGGACGTTAAACAGACTCATGACAGTGCCTTTCATACATTAATTACATGGTTTTCTTCCTCTAATACTGCAAAATGCACACACAAGTGGGGCATAAAGTGATACTGTAATTACCAGTGTCTCATAAAGGAATACGTACCACCAATCAGGCCATGGGCATTCATTCATACCACCGACAAACCGGAGCTTCTAACGTAAGACTCGGATCAAGTTTAACACTGTCAAGTTCATTCTGAGCACACGATTTAGGAAAACAAACCTTTTGGAGGACATACAGTAGATATTTCCTGATATTGTCTTGCACTTTTTCTGTTATTGAGCAGGCACTTTCTAAACAGAGCTTTCCAGAAGTCCAAAGTACATGTTGAAGAGTAATGGCAGTGACAATGAGGACAAAAGGGAAATTAATCAAATGATATGTAAGAAAGTAAGGGGGGGAGACATTCTGTTTGAAGATGGAAAGCTTTGACTGGAGGCCAGGCTGGATCCGCTGTAGGTGTGATTAATGGTCTTAATAAAAGCTAGTATGTTGCTGAAGTACAACCACATTGTAAAGAATGTAGCACCCTCTTCCCTTTTTTGGGTCATCAGTCATTGCATTGATATTAAAACGTTCAACATCATCATCATTAATATAATCTTCATACTTGCATCATTATCATCTTCATCATCTATACGTAAGTCTGCCTCACACAAACTTCAGAACTTGAAGGGAGGTCTATGGTTGAGCTATTACTAGATCTCTTCTACTGTTTATTGTGTGTGTGCATGTCTGAGTGTGTGTGTGCTGCCTCTGTGGATCTTACTGATAGCTTTTGGGTGTTGGTTTCCCCAACATAATATATCGTTAGGCAAAAATAGCATTCATAATAATTGGCACTACTGGCAAAAAGGGTTTAATTTTTGCTAGCCAAGAAACAAAAGCACAAAATGTAAATGTTTTGTCTGAAAGATCATTGTTTCAGCTAACGTTGTTTTTCCCACTTATAATTCTAACATTAGATTTTTCAGTTTGCATGCTTTAACAAAATGTTCTTTTCAGTAACACTTATACTGGATACTCTTAAAGTGAAGCAGTTAAAATCCTCTCACAGTCCATAGCCACTAACATGTTCTTTTTGCTGTTTCTTTGTCTCATGCACATTACTCTGTTTTTAATATCTACATTATTTACAAGCAATACAGCCATCCTGTGTTACCCAGATCTCTGTCTTTAAGTTCTCATTATGGGAGTAAAATAATTTATAATCTTAAATACAGTCCTCTTATGAAAAAGTTTCAGGGTCCTCGTATCCCCTTACCTCGTCAGTTTATATACAGGAATATGCAATAGTCCAAAATATGGATTTGAACGCCCGTATGGGCTAATATGGGGACCAATGCCCTGTATAGGGGCAGGTATAGGACCCATGTCCTGTACAGAGCACGCATAGAGACCTCTCAGAGTCAAGAAGAAGTCAAGGCAATGGTATGTGACTCTCTCCTCAAAACCACAGTTAGGATTTAGAGGTTCACGCAAAGAACAAACTAACAGAGACATTTAACCATTGGAACATATCATATTTTACCACACAAAGGGGGAAAACCAGTCTCAAGCTAAACCACTCTTGAGCCAATTAAAGTAATAATCATATCCTTGAATAAATTAAGTAAAAAAAGCACCCAAAATAAGTCATTTGTCCTTACACAGTTCACATTACACAGGGCAAGGATAAGTTGATGAGGACGTAAGTGAGACACAACTACACATAGAAATACAAAAGAAACAACACTAAAGCAGTTTGGCAAGCATGCAGGAGCTTGTAGCTCAAACACATGCATTGAATTGAACGAACACAGACACCACGTCAGGCGAGCAAAGTGCTGCCTCTGAGAACGACTCCATACAAAGTCCATGTAACAAATTAAGACATCGTTATTCAGACCCCCACCCTTTATCTAACAATGCCCCTCTTACATTCAAGTGCAGTTCCTCCCCTTTGGATCGGGTGACTGATTAATAGGTTTGTAAGCCTGTGAGTCAGAGTGGTTGGTGATATTGTGATATACGGAATCAGCAGAATGATTTGCCACTATAGCTCTTCAGGATGATGGAGAGGAGGAATAAGCGAAAAAATCTTGCATGCAAATGCAACACAGAAGTGAGTCTTTTGGTTTATGTTTTCTTATTCTTTCATGGATCACTGTTTGGATACAAAACACAACAGTGTTTTGTAAGTTTTCTGCATGTCAAAAAAGTCTCAAGCTGTTCACCACTGAATCCTTTTTCGCAATCCAGTTGCTGCCACAAACGGCAGGATGTAGTCGTCAGATGCTTCCCCCTGCGTTCTCTCATTTGACTCGCCGACTTTTCGTTGCAAAGAAACATATCCATGAAGAGTGCAAAGAATGCCATGAGGTTAATGTGATGACCTCCCAGTGAAACTGGGGAGGAGGATCAGTGGGCAGAGCCAGGTTCCTGGGCTCTACCCAGCAGTCCGTCTGTCTGAGCTGCCATGATGGACACCTATCCTGTCCTCAGTCTGTCTGGGAAAAGTTTTTTTTTCTCTCTTAAGAGAAGAGGGGAGAGAGGGTGAGAGTGAAGGAGAAAGAGAAGGAGATCAGAGGAGGAGGAGAATTTCGGTTTTAGGACTGAAAGGGAGAGAGTTTGGGAGAGATGGAAGAGAGAAGAAAGAAAAAGGAGGAGATGGAGAAGAGGGAGGGTGTATAGCTTGCTCACAGGCTGAGGGGGCTGTGTGTGGGGCCTGGCGGTGGGCTCTCAGGACCCCTGGCCTTTCTCTGCTCTCTGGCCCTGAGGAGAAACAAAACACATATTAGAGTATATGTCTGTAGCTGTACACGTTTTGGCAATGTGTTTCTTCCCCAGTTTTATAACCAAAAACCATATTCCATCCTGTTATCCTCCCACCCATCAAGGCACAAAAAGAGACCAAGCAGGCCAAGCAAGACACTTACTGTCCCCTATAGTGTCAGTCAGAACATGCCCCCAGGAAGACAGTATGCAAGAATTGCTCCTCTATCTATCTGTCACTCATGCACAAGTACCAGCATCATTCAGCACTCCTCGGAGAGAGACAGGGAGAGATAGGGAGGGGAAGAGAAAGAGAGATAGAGAGAGAAAGAGAGTGCGAGAGGGAAGGATGATAATCCAGGACTTCCTCTCCCACTCCCTCAGCTGACATGCAAACAGGCATCAGCCATTGGGAGAGAGGGAGGGAGAGAGAGAAGAGAGGGAGAGAAGACTCACCCGTTTCAGAGGCCTATGGTCCATCAAGGGGCTTCACAGGAACAGTAAAACAACACCAACTATTAGCACCAATGAAGCAAGCACACATGTGGCAGTGGGCTGTAAGTGTGTGTGGGTGTTTGAGAGTGTGTGTAGCTTTTTCATGCCTCACCTGTGGCGGCATCGGAGCAGGAACCTCAGGATCTTGCGAGCAGCCTGGTTCTGTTTTTTAGTAAGGAGGCTGCTGTGGGTGAAAAAAAATTCATATAAGAATTAATCCTTGTGTGTGTGTGTGTGTATGTGTCTTAATGTGTGTGTGTGTGTGTGTGTGTGTGTGTGTGTGTGTGTATGTGTATGTGTATGTGTCTTAATGTGTGTGTAGTACCTGAGGGAGTGTCTGTAGGAGCGGTAGTATTGCTGGATGAGGACCGCTGCTCGACGACTCTGCTGGAACTTCCTCTGCTCATGGAAACTCCGGAAACGACTCTGGATCAGGATGGCTGCCAGGGTCATCCTCTTATAAAGTGCATACTTAGAGAGAGAGCACAGCAGCATTTTATTTCCAAATTAATGATAAAGATAAAAAATAAGGTTTGCTCCTGTGAATCAAAAGTAAATAATTCTGAATCTACGGCACTGACCTAATCCCAATTTGAGAGTCCTTTCAAATCAAAATGTTCAAAAACTGTTGGCAAGAACCCAACTCAACTTCCATGAACAACATTCAAATAGTTTGATAGTATCAGGCGATTATGTATGCATATAATTATTTATACAAATAGGATCCAATGCTTGATAGTCTGTGGTAAAAGGTGTATTCATGATAAGGAATAATTCTCAACTCAACAGATGAACAGGGCATGAAGCCTTACCTGCTTGTATCGCTTATAGCAGCGTTGAATCACTGCGGCAATCTCTTTGCGTTGTTCCTGAATGGGACCCTGAGGGGAGTGACATTAGGAGTTTGTATGAATGTCATATAGCCTACGATAAATGGTTCATGGTCATCTTAAGCTTTTTCTTTAAGACTGCAATTTATGACAGAGAAAAGGAGGTGAAGATAATGGGAACAGATGCCAGAATCAGATATCAAAAACAAAAACACAGTAGCAAAATGCATCAGTTTCGTTTACAATCCCTGGAGCACCGTTCTAAAGGAGTGGAGGCCACATATACCTTGTGTTTTCTGAGGGCGTGAAGGGCATGCCTGATGGTCTCATACAGCTCTCCCTGCTCTGCTTCAGTCATGGCTAGACAGGGCGACTCAGTTTTCAACCTCTCCTCTTTCATAGCTGCACAGAGGAAGGAGCTCCAGTCGAAGGGGGAGGGAGGGGCGTGCTTAGCCTGAGGACTCTGCTGATCCTCTGGCCCTGAGAGAGATTTTGGTTTGGGGTTAGGAGTCTGGGGCTTGGAGTTCAGGAACCTGGAGAAAAACAAAGAGCCAAGTTAGTCAAAAAGGATTTATGCTGTTTGATGACTTACATGAAAGAAATGTTGAAAAACAAAAGCTATAGTTTTCCTCACCTCTCCACCTCACTGAGGTAACCAGACAGTAACCTGACATCGCTGCTGATCCCCAACTTCCCAGAGTCTGTTTCCACAGCCTCCTGTTTCAGCCTACCAGCTGAAGCCTCCATGATGTGATCAGCTAGCATTGTAATGTCCATCTGAAACACACACAGATCCAGGAGAGGTGTTATCTACCTATATCTACCACCAGCTGTACTTAAAATGAAAACATACCTGTCATTGTCATTTATTGTCATGACACACAACTCTGTGTAGCTAATGTAATTACACACAACAATACACACAGGTGGGAAAGGGAAAACATTTTAATATTATCATTGCTACTTGATTTTGAATTTTCTGTTCTGTGATTTTGTTTGAAATTGTATCTTCTCGTTATGTGCTCGCATACTTTTAACAGTTAGATGGACTTGTGCTGCCCTTTTTATCAGATTTCACTGCATCATAGAGTATACAGCAACATGTCTGTGTGATTCATTGTTTTTCCAAGTTAAAAAAACTACATGGATCTGAGATTTTATTCATGCAATTCCATTCTTTCTAAATATGTTTAGCTAAATGAGCACTACAAATGACTATATCGTGACTGAAGACTTACTTCAATGTAAGGTTTAACCACTTACTATTAGGTTCTTGCCAGTAATAATTTAGTATGTGTGCCCCTTTTCCCTTTCTTATTAGACGATTCTTATTAGTGTGAGTGTGTGCTTGTGTGGGACTGAGGTGTGTAAACAGCACTGATTCACCTGCTGGGGTTTTTCCTATAATATTTTTTCCTATAATGACAAATTAAATGTACACAACAGTAAAATCAAAATCATCACCCATTGTCTCTGTATCCTGTTTCTGCACCATTTTATTATTTATTTTAATTTATTATTTTCATTCTATGGCCTTTGCTGGTGCTTTAGTATTTTCTTTTTTCCTGATGAGTTTCACATAGGAATTTTCCCTTATTTGCATTGAGGGTCAAAGTTTGTGGAGAGTTGTTTTCATATACTTTTAATGTATTGTTTCATGTATTTTATCACAAACATGGCACACATGCAAGCAAGCTGTACACATTTTCCATCACATAAAGGACAATGACTTCAGTTTTGGTTATGGAACAAGATCCGAACTGTCCCTAACAATCTGCTCCCCCTACCTGCAAGTCCTCAGTGTTATCCTGATAGGTCAGCAGCTCTGTCTCCTCTCCCCTGTCAGACAGCACTCTTTGGCGCAGGTGAATGGCCAGTCGCTCTTTTCCTAAAATCCTCCTGGCTAGGCTACATTGCCCCAGAGTCTGTCTCAGACTCCACCTGGTGCCCCCTCCGGACCCCCCTATCCTGGCCTGCAGGTGGGAGAACGGGGTGTTGGGGAGCTGAGGCCTGCTAGGGCTGGAGCTGGCAGGAGGAGGTGTGTTCTGACAGCTGAGGTTGGAGGGTTGAGTTTGTTGGGAGAGGGTGTTGGGGAGGAGAGAACACCGAGCATTAGGACTTGGGAAGGTGTTGAGGAGGGAGTTGAGTGTGTTGGTGCTGGGGGTTGAGTTAGCTAACTGTTGCTGGGTGTCTGGACTGGGTTTGAGTCTCTTGGCTGGGGGTGGACCTCCCTTATCTCCCTGGGTTGCCTGTGGGGCTCTATGTCCTGTCTGGGTCCAGCTCTCGTTGTCTGCCTGGCTCTCTGTCCTGGCTCTCCTCAGCTCTGGGCAAACAAAGATGATGGAAAATAAGAGAACAGTCAGTTAACTGGAAACAAAACTAAAAACAATCATTCCCCTCTAAAACCTAAAAAAAAGCTGTCCATAGGGAGAATTTCATATTTTCAGTTTGACTTTTTCTTCCCTGTATGAACCAATTTCCCACCTGAGTTCGAGTTTGGAGTGGGGCTGTTACTTATTCCGCCTGTCTGTGAATCTCCTCTCCACCTGTCCATCCAAGTGTCAGCCGGCTGACCCTGAGCTTGAGGGGTCTGTTGCAGCTGTTCTAATAGCTCAGCCAATCGAGTGTGGCCCCTAGATCGAGCAATGTTGAGAGGCAAGCGTCCAAGTGAATCAGGAATAGAAAGAGCTCTTGGATCCCACTGGTAAAGCACCAGTGCTGCCTCAGTATGGCCCAGAGCACAAGCCCACATCTGCAGAAACCAGTAATGAAAAATCACACACAGCCATGGACAGATAGATACATACATTTGTAACACCATTCAGTCACTCACCAGTGGAGTGCAGGAAAAGTGGTCTACATTAAGAGGATCCACCTCCAGCTCGAGGTCAATACTGTCCGCATGCTTTGTGCTGCAGAGCAAGACAGCAATAGTGAAATTAATTGGCACGGTCTGTGTGTTCACGATGGTGTGCCGTGTGTGTGTGTGTTACTCACCGCCAGCGAATGAGTGTCTGAATGAGCCCTGCATAGCCCTGAGCTGCAGCCAGATGCAGTAAGGTCATTCCTCTGGAGTTCTTACTGTGGACGAGCTGATTGGAAGAAGCCCAGCACGACTGAGACATCATCTTCTCACAAACCACCACCACGCGACCCTCGAATGAACCCTGATCGGGAGAAATCTGGAGCATTGGAGAGGAGGAGTGGAATAATGAGTTAAACCAGTAAGTCTTGGGTGATCAGACTTTTTCTGCATTTTGTTGCTTTTTCAAAATGTTCAAGGTGTCACAACATTGAAATGCTGAGCCTATGGATCTTGCAAACATAAATTATACAATAAAAGCAACACATTTGAAATGTAATGTAATCCAGTGCCTATATGCCTGAAAGAAATGCTTCCACTGTGAGGTTTACTGTTTATTCTGTTTTAATAAAACTATGTTAGAAAATAGTGGATTCAACACCTCTCTGAATCAGAAGTTAGTGGACTTTTTTTTACTTGAAGGCATTATGTTTTGCTGAGTAAATTTCAAAACGAATTCTTTACAAAAATGTTACTTCGATAGGTGTTTAAGTTATTAGATTATTACCGTTAAGTCCTCAAATTCTATGTCAATCACTCAAACACAGTTTTAAAGACTAGCTTTTAAGAACTAAAAACATACTATTTTGTTTAATGCTGGTTGTCTGTTCTGCTCACTTTATACAGTTTTAGATTGCATATCTTAAAAAAAAAGAAAACTTCAGCCTAACTAAATCAATTCTTCCTGCCTTACTTGAGACTGCTGATCAGTGGCTCCTCCTCCCTCCACTCCTCCACCCTTGGTTGCCATGGTTTCTGAGCTAGGGTTCTGATTGGATATCTCAGCCATCCTCTGTTCCATCTGCTCCAGACGCTCCAAGATGGACATCCTGAACTGGGTATCTACAGAAATGAAGGCGTGACACACAATGCAGCTGTAAGCATCGGCCAGATGTTCGTTGTGTTAAAGAAAAATCATATCATGATTTCGTAAATCCTAATCTGAGAGTCTTAGGGAGAGAAGCTCTTCTCTGGGGGGCTTCAGGCTAAAAGGAATATCAGGGCTGGAATCTTGTAAATCCCCTTATCAACTAGGGAACTGGGGAACAAAGTAAAATGTGTGTGTGTGTGTGTGTGTGTGTGTGTGTGTAAGAAAAGAGTGCATATCTTACAACAAATGTAAGTCCTGCATGTCCGTGTTGAGGTTGTATGTGAATGTGACCCTTTTGTTTCAGTACTGCTGCAGTTTTGCTGCAGTGCACATTATGTCATTCCACCTGCTGCTCTCTCACTCAGTCTCTGTTTTCCCTCCTCTCATTTCACTCCAATTTTTCTTTCTGCTTTCTGCAGCAGACACACTGGGCTGAAAGGGTGGAGCCACAACAGTGACACAAAGGCTCATGGCTCCTCCCTTTACGCTCCGCCAATCAGACGCGGAGCAGAGACTCCCAGTAATACAGCTCATCTGAATACAAAGCAAAACACCTGCCAAACACAAGATGCAGCAAATGCAAACACAAACACAGACCAGTCCAGGCATAAAGACACATGCATTCAAAAACATTGGAATTTGAATTAAAAAAATTAATTAAAAAAACTTTATTAACTGATACATTAAAATATTATTGCAAAGTTGATAAGACTAATATACTGAAATGTGACATTTAAACATAGAAAAGTGGATTAGTGAATTTGAAATATGGAAACTCCTTTAGAACACATTGTAGGACTTCAAAAATCAAAAATGTATGATAATGTCATGCAATCATATTTTTACTTATTATTTTTTAGGAACATGTCACTTAAATGCAAATTTAGAAATGTTTTGAGCATAGTAATTAGATACATAAATTATAGTTGATCAGTAAGTAGGCTACTATGGTGACATACTCTAGGCCAGTTACGTATAACTTATTGTCCTTTTTAACACAAATCCAGCTGCTTTTGTTGAGGGTTACTTTAAGTTGTATAGATACCTGTGGATTTACTGACCAACACTCACACCTTTTCTGTTCTGTTGATGGTTTGTTTCCATGATTATACTTGGATTCTTCTTTTCAAAACATGTTTGTAGAAAAACATATGTTATACTACATTTATTTTTATTTTACCACTGTTACGGTTCTTTATATTAATATCTCTATTTCAATATTCATATTCCATCGAACTATTACCGAACATTTAATGAAAGTTATCCAAAGTGATAAGTAAAACCAGTCACAGCATGTTGACATACTTTTTGTTACAAAGTACACGCAACAGTAGGTCTATTAAACTATACCTATTTTGTTCACACAGATAAGATCTTCGCTTTTGGTCATATCAGCCTAAATAAAAAATGATACAGATTTAGATACTGAACTTTCAGTACAGAAACTTGCAGCTGCGAACATAAATATCTAAAAAACAACCTATAAGCATGTGTTCAAGCTTTGTGATCAACACAACTGTTATCATTATGTGGGCCTCCTCTACAGGAGCCACGTTAGCCTCCCTTCAGTTGTTGTTGTGGAGTTCAGTGGCGCTGTCCACTCCTGCTGGTGCTGAAACAGAACAGGTCGACTGGAAAACTAAAAGCCTGAAGGCTGATCATCAGGTCTGCTCAAACAAACATCAGACAGGCAGTCGCTTGGATTTCAGCTCAAACATATAGCGTGCAACAAGAAGGAAGACTTGTGGCTTTTCTATGGTCCCTTTGTCTGAACCAGACAGAGGCTGCATGTGCTCCACATGTCGGTTACTACTTATATCAATCCTGGGATGCAAAAGCAGCGCGAAGCTTTACAGCTATGAGGAATACATTTGGACAACAGGTACATTTATCTACATCAACACGGCAACAAAAACAACTTCCACAAACAACAACACAGACCTGAACGCCAATTAAAGGAGCGTCTTGAAGTTATGATCAATTTAAAATCAAATGAGCTACGAACCCAAACTGCGTCTCTCTCTCTCTCTCTTATGTGCTGCTCTCTTTGTTCCCGCTTCTCCTCAAACCCCGTTAGTTTGAAGACTCACACATTCCTACTCCGACCGAGCAAAACACAACTAAGTGCAGTGAGAGAGAGAAACAGGGAGAGAGAGAGATTGTATGAGAGGGGGGAGGGTTCGGGTGAGCTGTCTCCACGTTGTGTCTCGCAGAGCAGCGCTTCAAATCCGCCCGCCAGACTCGGAGCTGCAGGAGGCTCGGTCGTCATCAGCACAACAATAGACCGCACACTGGATAAACTGGAGCAACGTGCACGTGACGAGCTCGTGCACCGAAGCATTTTTGCTCAGAATAATATTTATCTCTTATATTTTGTTCCCTTCAAGGCACTTAAGCTCTTGGCTGCACATTTGGGGCCAAACAAAGGGGCAGAGCGAAAATGAGCAGAGCGCGTATGCAAGTGTCGCTATCACCGCTGAAAGTCAAACACACAGTCTATCTCTATATACATGTCCTTATATAAATAAATATATATCTATAATGTGTGTCGGCAGAGCAGTAGTGGCCAACACATGGACTTTAAAATGGTGACTGTGATTTAAAGTCCTTGCCCTTCACTCCAGCAAACAGCCAGTCTGCTGTGACTGTGGAGCCGCATTGCCGCATTGCGCAACGCAGAGACGGGGGTGAACAGAGTAACCCAGGACATGCCTCACTGAGGAGACCCGTGTGTTTCTGAGCTGCAGCTGCACCACAAGAGATATTTGCACACAGAGGCTAACACCCCTGGTGCTGTGCACATATGCAGCCAAACGTCCCAAGACCTGAATCACAAAAGTACATTTAACCTTCCACATCTTGAAGCAACTTTTAACTCGTTTTTTGAACTGTCACAAGATCAGCAACTACAGCTTGAACAAAACAATCTCCCTCAGAGTCGTCTCCGACAAACAAACACTCAATTTGGACTCAACAGTAAACCAGAGCCTTAAACAAACCTAACAAAGACAAATCCTAATCCTTTATGGATCATGATTTCAAAAAAGAACAGGCGTCAGTACAAGTCAACACCTTTTTATTCCTGCATGAAGGCAGAGGGTGACCACAGAAAATAAAGCTGCCTGCAGGCACAGAAGATAAAAGTTTAGCCCAACAGCAGCATCAATGTCTATACTGTTTGTACATCAGCAGATGTAGACCAAATATCTCATGACATAACAGAGCAACAGAAACGACAGCAACACAGTGACACACACACCCATATACACACATCAACAGGTTTTCTCAGAGCTAAACTGATTAGCATAGAGGTAAGTCAGAGAACAATTTAAATAACTTAAGAAAGAAAGAGAAAAGGTTCATTTTCTATCATGATTTGAGGTTTAACCTTCTGGAGCACAAATACAACAGTCAAGTGAATGTTGAAAGATACACACACATTTGCTGTCTCCCTCTCTCTGACCCCGTTTACACAAGGCATTAGAATATGTCCTGAGTGATCCAATCACAAATGCTCAGCTCTTAGTTCAGGTCTGAACGCATCATAATGCATCCTGAATGAATCTTGAAATCCGATCACCCAGACCACATTTGAAGTGGTCTGGGTCACAAATCCTATAGTTGCATTAATTAATTCAGCCCCTCCTTGCTTACGCCAACACATACGATAATACCAAGTCTGAACAGGGCCTTTTTTCTCTTTGCTTTATTTGTTATTGACACATGGAACACTCCAGGCACACAATGCAGCAGTTATATAGTCTCTTCCAGTTTATGGTTCATGCTCTTTATTGAGTAAATAACAGCAGCCAGCAAAAGTTGCTGTGAAACCCCTTGTAGTCAAAAATACACAAGCAAATTTCTCTCACCATCCAGGGACAGCCAGTCGTGCTGAGAAGATGGCAGGGCAGGAAGATCACGCGCCTTGTATTCAAACACCACAGAGGAAGAGATGACTTCACCACCCATAGCTACCTGTAGCATCACCAAGCCAGTGTCATGGGCTGGAAGCAGACGTGAGTTAAGGTGTTAGTAAAACTGATTAAAGCAGTTTTCAGACATGACTTTCAGAGAATCTTCGAAGAATTGGGTCCGGACTTTCACAGCAGTTGATCTTTCACACATGCACAACGCAGCCAGGGGGTTCTCTACTCACACGCATTCACATGCAACAACAACAAATTCCCCACACTCTTCAGGTGAGGGGTGGTGCAGCAGGCAGAGGCAGGAAATAACATATTAATTCTGCTGCAGAGATCACGTGATTTTGTTTACTGCACATCAACACCAGCATCGGCTCTCATCACAAAAAATTCTCATGACATCTTTGCCGGTGTCTTCTACGTGTATGGGACTGCTTTTTTGGAGGATCTCCAGAGTTATGTGCATGTCTGAAAGCAGCTCAAGTGAAGGGACAGAGAGAAAGAGCTGCTCTCGAAGCATATTAGGACAATATGTGAATGTCTAGTGTCACTTTCACCCATTTGTTCCTGAAAGAGACTATTTGCCAAACACTTCTCCCCTGATCACACACTTATTGTTGGAGGATATGACTCATGTATCACATATTGTATCATCCTAAGAACCATGTCAAGCACTGCGTAGATTATCTGCCTGCAAGACAATGTCTCTATCAATTATTTTTTTGCATTGTATGTTCTAGTATAAGAGAGACAGCCAACATCTCTCTCCACAAGACGACAAAAAAACCTTTTGCTACAGACTCATTATAGGGATTGATGGTTGGGTTAAGGTTTAAATTTTAAAATAAAGCATATTGCTTTTCCGTGTATGAGTCAGTAATAAGAGGAGAGAGCTGTATGTGAGTCATAGACTTTATATTAAGATGGACGATGCATCTCCACTTCCTCCCACTATCCATAAATGAAGCTAAAATATCCCATACATGAACGCTGCTATCTTGCACATTTGGACCCAAAGTCTGTGCAACAGCAATCTGCGGTATTGCGGTCCCATACATACACACCCTTACGCATTTCACACAACATTTCATACAGTTTTAATACCAATAAATAAGTAATTAAAACCAAACTTACTGAAAATATTAACCCAACCACCTTTGAGAAAAAAATATTAAACGTGTACTTTGTCTTCTTAGTTGGTCATCCATGTCCCATCTACCAACATGGAGGGGGCAAGATTTATGACTTATATTGCAGGCAGCCATATGGCGGCAATTGAGATGCTTTAACTAAACTTTCGGGAAGCTGTCATGTCGTCCATCTTTATAGACAGTCTATTTTGTGTGTGTGTGTGTGTGTRTGTGTGTGTGAATACAAAGGATTGTTACCTGGGCAGTAGCAGCGCAGCACCCCAGGCTGGATGAGAGCAGCGGGGACACTGATGTGGTCAAAGAGACAGCTGTACTCACTGCCCGACTCCAACCATGGACCTGTGATCAGCACCTTCACTCCGCCCTGCGGCACAAAGGCACAGGCCTCAGTCTCATGTCACAGAATAGATACTTCATCTTCAACAAACTGCAAAGTGTTTACTTCATCATTCGTACAAAGAGATGCAAGAGTGAATGCAAGAGTGAGACACCTGACTGAGTGCTTTTGTTTGAATTTACCTCTTACAAAATGCCTCCAAGTCAGTGAGGATGTCTGAAACACAAGTGACTGTGTGTATGTGTGTATATGTGTGTGTGCTCTTTTACAGATGACTTTGTGAGGATCATTTTGAGCCTGTAACCAACTGCCATTTGGGGAAACTGAGGACTTTTTGTCCCACTTTTAATGGGCCATTTCAGGGTCAAGACTTGTTTTAGGGTTAGAATTGGGTTTTGGTTTTGGTTAGAGTTAGGGTAAGACGTTTAGTTTCGATGGTTAAGGTTAGGGTAAGGCTCAGGGAATGCATCATGACAATGAGTGTCCTCACTAAGATAGATGTACAAACATGTGTATGTGTGTTTCCAGAAAAATATATTTCTATCAAATATCCTGATTCCATCTGTCAGAAAGAAACTTCATAGGTACAGAGGACTAAAAATGGAACCTTTTATTTTCTGTTATATAACTCTGAACTGAAAGATATTATAACCTGCCTCATTTACAAAATAATTAAAAACATTTTAATAACATATCTCTAAAGAGCCTCTAAAGAGTCTAAAAGGCCTGGTAGCAGCCCCTAGAGGCTCTAAGGCTCCTTACATCCAAGTTGTCTGAACCATCTATGAGACACTGCCATGTGTTCTCTTTAGTGCTGCTAAAAATAATACATAGACAACATACTGTTGGACTCATGAAGTTAGATTACACAACAATGAAAAAGATTGAATTTTTCATTTACCAGCCTTTGGGAGAGTCTTTGGGAGAGAGTATTGTTGAGGCCCATTTAAAGTTCAATCTAAAAATATATACGATCACTCTTTAAGCATTTCGATGAAAAACGTGGGGTGTTTTTTGAGGAAAGTCTTAACTGGAATACTAAGTAAAATTTGTATGGTTGTCTTTTTGAGATTTTTTCCACTAACTGCACTAACTTGTTTTCTTTTAACTGATGTTGGTTACATGGCATGTTGCCAACATTCAATCATAATTCAGTGGCAGAACTGGTGTGTGAAATATAATAAGCTGTACATGGGTACATTAATGAGGCCACCCAGGGGAATCGGTGTAATATTGAAATTTCATCAAAATCCAATCAGTAGAGTCTGAGACACTCTGGCTTCTGAATGACCGCACAAAGCCAGGCCGGCGGTGTTAGTACAGATTGTGCTCAACTTAAATTAATTGTTTAGCATCAGTGTGAGTCACCGTCAATCATGTGTTCGAAAGACTGATTTTATTAGGGAACAATGAATAAGTAATGATAATCATGTTGGGTTTACTAACCTCTGGATAAGACCACTCTGGGGAGTAGTCTGTCACACCAAACAGCCTCCCAGTCTCCTGGAGCAGTCCCAGAGCTCCCTGCTCCACCTCCGAGCCCTGCAGGTGGCCCGCTGCTGTGCCCTGCTCCTCTCCTGCTGCCCCCTCCTGGGGCATCAGAACCCCAGTGACTGCTGCCCCCACCCCGCCCCCAGACCCCTCAACTGAGATGAAATCATTGATGAGATCAGAGAACTGGCTTCCAAATGAAGCCTCAAAACCTTCCAGACTGATGGCTGAGCCTGCCCCAGCTGCTGCGGTCGACACGCCCACACCTTGCTGAGGAAGAGGAGAGCTGTAGAGCGCCCCCTCGATGCTTGTACCTGCAGCTATCGACTGAGGACTGGCCCCCACTGAACTGCTGGCCCCCGGCAAGCTTACACCATTACAGAGAATCTCGTTTTCCCCTCCCCCTCCTACACCTCCTCCTCCTCCACCCTCCTCTCCCCCACCATTATCATCTGTGGGTTGCAGGTAGTGCTCTGTGTCCACGCTTGCGTAGGCCTCATGAGGATCCCCAGGCTTGAGTAGTAACTCTCCTCCATTCTCAGAAGTTTTGTCTAGGCTCCCCATCTCTCGATGTCCCCTGCTGCCTGACTGGTCGACGGTAGTGTCCTGTGTTGTCAGGGGAAACGAGCCAACTGCTGCTCCTTGTCCATTCCTTCCACACAGGCCCTGCTGGTCTGGGCTGGCTTGGTGGAGATGTGTATGAGGATCTCTATTGGTGACCGGAGATTCTGTTGGCACTGTGGGCAGACCTATGTAAGGTTGGGCCTCACCTGAGTCCTGGGTTCCCTCAGTACCATTGGTCTGCAGCTGAGAGGGCTGGCTCGTCTGGGGGGAGGCTTGGAGGAAGAGGCTTGGGGAGGGGTGGTGTGTAGTCTGGCTCAGACTTGGGACACAGGCGGATGACATGACAGCACTGAAGTCCATTTGCTCCAGGGTGGTGCTGGGGCTGAGGCCTGTTCCCTCTCCCACATAGCTACCCTGTGTGGCCAGTGGTGGCTCCAGGGGCACTGGTTCCGTCTTGATGTTGTTGACGAGGGCTGGGTTGTAGAGGAAGCCGTTAGAGTGGAGTCCTCCATCATCACCATTACACCCCTCTATCTTCCCTCCACCTCCACCATACGTCTGGCCCTGCTTGGGATTGTTGAGGAAGCAGTCGGGGTCAAAGGTCATGGTGGTTTCAGGGAGGCTGACTGTGCCACCAGAGTCTAGAGAGCTGGACAGAACCAACTCTCCTCCCTCCCCTAAGCCCACCCCACCAGGAAATGATGCAAACCTCTGGTTTTCGGGGGCCACAGCCAACAGGATGCCAGCGGTGGTACTCTCGTGGGCAGATGCAAGGAGGTGGGTGTGACCAGCAGAGTAAACTGTATCCCCTGTCAGTGTGGTGACCTCAGACATGAACACAGCAGTGCTCTGTGACAGCCCAGCCCCAATGGAGAGAGCAGGACTGTCGGCCATGTCACTAGTGATTGACAGTGGGGAGCTCTGGGTGGTGTCAGGGACCTCCACCTGGTTGTTGGAAGTGGAGGAGGACACCTCCATGCTGCTCTGTGGAAGTAAGGAGGGTTTGGTTATCCTGCCATTCCTCCTCTCTCCTCCGCCCACTCTGCCCCTGCCCCCCCCAGGACTGGGCTCTGTCTGGCCTTCTGATACATCGCTGTTCTGGACCTCCGTGCCATCTGCTTCCTCGGCTCTCTGGCCTGCCGCTACACCAGTCCCCACCACAGATCCACCCCCTGCTGCTGCCCCTGACTCCTGCTTGGATGAGATGATGCGCTGCTTGACACTGGAACATTTCTGATGCAGGCTGCTTCCAGCACCTGACAGAAGAGATGAGCAGAGGAAAACACAATTTTAGACAAAGTACACTGTCATCATATTATCTTTATATTTATGTCAATCTGTAAAGTAATGTTGAATTGCCTCACTAACATTTGACAGTGTGTAATGGCGCCATCCAGTGTTCAGAGACTACACTACTCAACTGAATTCATTGAACAGATCTTAAAAATTCAAAACATGTATGCAAAACAAACTATTTGCTTCTTTTACATTCAATTTTTTTACAATATGTTTCAAGTTTCCAAATTGGACTTTCTCATTTACATTTTCTGGATTTAGCCCGAGTAAAATAACAAACACCACAGAGTTGAAGTGTCAGAGACCTAATTCCCATTAAATCCCAATGACCACAGAAGGATAAAGTCAGTGTTTGAGAGACGAGAGCTAGGATAAGGAAAAAACAGAAAGCTATTTTGTGTGAACAATTAGGGCAGACAGAGGAACAAGAGGGACTCTGAGTCAGATAGGAGACAATTGAAGGAGTACTTAAGTCAAAAAGCCACTTATTTTTGGGCAGCTGTCCTTACATGCCCGTTTGAACCAGATCAAAGGATGGCTGAGATTAGGTAAGTGTCTACGTGTGTTAGTATGTGTACTGGAGTTATCTACTCCCTGATGCTCAGCTATGAATAATACATGCTGGATATTTCAGGCATCTCTGTCTTACTTCCCTGTATTCTTCCTTTTCTTGTTTGCAATGATTGTCTGCCTCTAGGTGGCAGCATGGCGTTGACTGTTGGAACCATCAAGTCTATATCTGCATATAGCCTGGCTGAATGTTAAATTAATACTGTCTCATCAAAAGGTGGCTTGTTAAAGAACATTTTTTTCTAGAAATCCATCCCTCATGTTAAGTTCTGTTTTCACTTTAAATATATATACGAAAAAAGATGTGATATTCCAAAAGTTAGATTTTTTTAAACTGTTTATGTTTGAACACACCTATCTGGAAATTCAGTTGTTGCCTTTTGGCTTAATGATTTATTTTTACATTCAGCAACATACCTGTAAGATTAAATTATTAACACAGACAAGAGATATATTCATGCAAGAGACATTTTCATATCATCTCCCCTGAATTGTTTTAAGCACCTGTTGTCTCATCTAATAAGGGATGGCATGGCTCCAGACTGTGCCCAATACCACTGCCAAGTTGTTTATAAAACCCTAAAAACAAGCCAGTGAAGCAAATTATCTGTTTTGGATTTACTACACTGATTTCCTACAGATTAATTTTGAAGCTTGGCTAGTGTAGGGTCATCATCTTTTTCATCCCTACTGTACCATGACAAGTGGTATTGTTATTGAGCCAAGGTGACTCACAACCTTGGGTTTTGGAGAAGCGTGAGGGCTGATATATGAGAGCTCTGGAGTAGGAGGGAGGCGAGCACTGAAATGGCAGTAAACACTAACTCACACATGGGTTTGAGTTGTCCAATGAGCTCCTCCTTGCTCCACTTGGCCCACTCCTTCCTGTCTGTGTTGATAGAGCAGAGGACAGGGCCGCATGGCTTCCCGCTATCGTCCACTGCCGGTACATTCAAGTAGTGCACCAGCACAATGTCTGGGTTCTACAGGACAAGGGCACAAAACACAACCAAACAGAGACATGCACGCACGTGAAGTTAATTTAACACAACCCTGTGTTTATTAATGCATTGTCATGTTCTTACAGTACACAGGGAGGGAGAGAGTAAAATGATAGAGTCTATTTACAAAAAAAAGTGGAGGGTGGGGAAAAGGAAAGCAGGAGAGAACGTGGAGGTCAGGGAGGAGGTCGGACGTAGCGTGTCAGATAAGATTCTCACACCTGCCCATAAAAGATTTAACAGCTCGAGCCCACTCATCACTCTCTCTAACCCTGCAGAGGCTGTGGAAGAATGTGTGTGTGTGTGTGTAGAGAGAGAGGGAGGGAAAGAGAGGGAGAGAGAGCAGTTCAGAGTAGTTCTAACTATACTGTAGGCCACCAGCAGACCTATGGAATTTCGACCCCATGAATGATTCAACAAGTGCGTTCATGTGCATGTGCATGTGTGTGTGTGTGAGAGAGAGAGAGAGAGAGAGGGAGAGCAAAAGAAGCTCCTCTTGATGAAAGATTCAGTAGACAGACTCAGGTGAGGGGGAGGACCTGCTGAGGTGGAACACTTTTCTCTCCAAAAGAGGATGGCACAGTGGGCTGCTACAGCACCACAGTGTGCAGTGTTACAGCACTCACAGACTGATTTATGATCATATTCACTGATGTGTTTTGATTTATGTGCAAGAGCAGAAATAGTACATTTCACATAAAGCAAGAATTCCCCCCTAAAATGTCCAGACTGCAGGGATCTAACTAGTTTGGCATGCTGAAAAAGAAAATATATTGGGTTAGAGCAAATTTAATTTTCAGTCAGTGGCTGGAATTCCCTTGTAAGTTTTATGTGACAAATTATGCAGGACATTCCAGTGGAGGAATACATATATACATATGCATTTACATACTTTAAATGAGCATTGCTGGGTGTTCAATATATCTTTTTAAATGAACGGAGAGGAAAAGGAGAGAAGAAGTGTAAGTGTATACAGGCTTGTTTGAAATTCATCATGTAACCTGTCATTGAAGATGATGAGGTTCTGGTGACCATATCTTGCATGGACAATAAAGGTAGAGATGTGTGTGTGCGTGCGTGGACATATGTGTTTATGCTCTCTGTTGTCTTTCACATGAGCAGTAGAGTGAGTCAAACATCTATATGAAAAACAACATGCCTTAATACTCAGGAGACACCTGTGCATGTGTGCATATTCCGTGAGTATGTTTGTGTGTGTGTGTCTGTGTGTGTGTGTGCTGTTTGTAGCTCCGGGGTGTTTTCCTTGAGAGGACCACATAGAGTTATACCCCAGTCCTTGATGCTCTCTATAGGTATTGGGAGTCAGGGTTAGATAACACACTGTGTGCGTGAACTCACAGTCAACTTCAGGCAATGAAATGCTCTGAACAATATGTGAGCTTTATACAAGACCTACAGGCCGAGCATTTTCTTTCTAAACTCGAGTAGTGGAACTGTTTGTGTGTAGGCCACTCCGCTCAGCCACACAACATCAAGTTTTATTATGGGCCCAGCTTCGTGATAGTATTTTCAGTATATAATCTGCCTCATTAATTTAGAAGAGGAGGATGTTTATTGCAGGTTTTATGGTTTGGCTTAATGTTTAGTGTTTTGAAAATATAATGGACACTTTAACAGTTTTGTGTAATATACTATATATTCTCTGGTTGTCCAGTTTTGTGTAGAATGGTGAATTAAGCCTTAACATAGCTGGAATAAATGTCACAGAATGACGTTATGTCAGAGAGAAGGGCCTGAAAATGACAAAACTATCCTGCTGTAAATGACGGATATTAATAAATTATTACCACAATGTAAATAATGTCAAAAATGTGATTTGTATGTGTATAAAAGGCAAGGTGGGACAGGGGGTGGGCTTACCTGCAGCAGCCAATAGCATCTACGATGGAAGGTGGGGATGATGGAGGAGTGGACGTAGCAGCCATACAGACACTAGAAAGAGGAAAGGAGAGGAGAGGGGAGGAGAGGAGAGGGGAGGAAAGGAGAGGGGAGGAGGGGAGAGGAGATAATCGGGAGGTAAACAAGAAAAGAAAAAAGGAAGGAATCAAGACCAAAAGTGAAAAAGGGGGAGAAAGGAGAGGACAGTAAAGGAGAAAACAGGAGAGGAGAGCTTAGGTTATACCCACTTAGGTTGTATTGATTGCGGTGCTAAAACTAAATTGCAAACATGCTGTATGCGTTTTTTCCTAATGTCTTTTCTAAAATACCATAAATCTGATGTTGACAATTATAGCACAAGAGATGGTGAAATTTACTGCCTCAGCAGGACCAGACAAAAACCCACTTGGAATTCATAAAAAGTCACAATGTTGTCAGCTCACAGACAGTGCAAGAGAGATCGGAAACAGTGAAGAGGACGAAGAAGAAGAGGAGGACGTGAGGAAGGCATAGAGTGATAGTGGAGTGGCAAGGTGGAAAAGATGAAGAGGCAGTTTGGGATAAGACTCAATCCAACAGAGGATGATTACATACATATAAAATAATGTGTACATGTGTAGAAAGGCGGAAATCGACAAAAATGTATGATTGAAGTGGTTTATACTTTAATATTTTGTTTGGAAGTGTTACCCTGTGGTATTAAATATCAATACTGGCGCCAGTGAAGTGGTTTCTGAACGGACACCAAAACATTTTTTCTTAATAACATAGGTCAAGTATATTAAATATGTTATTCCATAGATCCTTTTCTTTATTAACAATCTTGGGTGCATCAGTGTGAAATGCAAGGCAGCTGTACAAGAGCTCATAGTCTAAAAGCAAATTGCCATCTAAATCAGTAAATACTGTGTACCAAGGTATACAGAAGACATTAAGCCAGGTTTCAATTTGTTGACCTTTTTCAATATTCTGTGCTATGGGAACATTTTGGTCAAGGCTCAACCTGTACTGAGGTTCGATGTATAATGAGGAGCGTGTTTCTGGTGTTTGACAGAGGAAGGATGAAATGATGACAGAGGTCTTTTTCAAGGTCATCACGACCATTTTTCTACTTGCACTAATAACATGAATCACACGCACATGCACGTATGAATTTGTTGTTTTCTAAGACAGAAATTGCACACGCACACACAAATACTCAGCGATCAGGTTGTATATAATCAACACTTAAAACTCGTCCTGTTTCCTTTCATGTACACACTTATATTTTCTTGCCATTTTGCCTCTTCTCAGAAGTAGCCCGCCCTCTATCTAAAGTGTGTTTTGCCAAAGGCAGAGTGCATTTCCATATATTTCCATTTGATATGAGGAGGCTTTCCATCCAGGGTTATGTTTTTCTCTCCAGCTTCCTGCCTCTCCCCATCCTCCTTCTCTCCCTCTGCTCATCTCTGCGTTCTGCTCATTCCCTCATTCCCGTCCCTTGCTCTACACGCTGCACGCTTGCTTGGGGGGGGTCCTGAGAAGGAGGGTGACACAAACAATTACCGAGCAACTGCCAGGGAGAGAAACACTTTCTGTTACAGATGTGTGTGTGTGTGTGTGTGTGTGTGAGTGTTCAGGCAGGAATGTAGAAAAATGAACGGCATGTGAGATGAATGTCAATGTGAGTGTGGGGTTGTAACTCATAAAGGTGTAGATAAAAATATTAAATCTCAATTATTCTTTTTTTCCTTTTATCTTGTCTCCTGCTGACCTTTACCACAAAACTACTGCGCCCTCTGGAAACATCCATGTGCCTCCTGTCTCTCTCTGTCCTCTCCCTTCTACTTCGTTCTTTCTGTTTCTGACACATGCACGCTCACTACTCTCACCTCCTGGTATATTCCTGCTGAATAATCAATTTTTGAGCTGGCTGATGTGACTCTCACTCACACACACGCGCGCACAGACGCTGCCTTGAGACTGGATCGATACCCCTCTCTGTTCTGCTGAAGGAGGCATTGACATCATTCCTGGCCTCTGGCCAAACACACTCTTATCTTTCAGAAAGAGAGAGAGAGAAGGAGAGGGAGAGAGGGGAGCAAGGAAGGGGAAGAGAAAGAGAAAGAGAAAGAGAAAGAGAGAGAGAGAGAGAGAGAGAGAGAGAGACCACTTGCTCCCAGGTAACATATTGGCCTGTAGCCTCTCAGCATGTGTGTTTGTGTGCATTTGTGTGATACGCATGTCTCCTCGCAGTGAAGGAGAGTTAGTTAAGGATAAGACAGGCAGTAAAACCATACTCAGTGCCAAACGACCATCGACTTGTTGTTCCTCTGCAGCCTCTCACCTCGACTCCCTGCACTTTGAGCTTCATGTGATCCTCTCGGGTGGTCTTCCCGTCTTTCCTCTTCTTCCAGCAGTAGCCATCTTTCCTGTACTTCACCTTCTTGCGGTTGTAGAGAATCATAGAGCCATTTTGAGGCCTGGTGATTAAGAGACAGACAAACACACAGTGTCACATTGTGTTGATCGTAAATGTTGCAATAATTTCATTGAAATTGAGAGCCATTCAACTCCATGGATACCAACCAAAAAATGGTGTTCAAGCAAAAAAGTATGAAAATTCTCTTGCCATGCTGTTTCATAAACACCAACTGGAACAAGCACAAACATGTTCTCATCTGTAAATGTTACTCTCACAGTTTAGTTAGCTGGTCCCATGCACCCCTTGCATACACAGACTCATACTCCTACGTGTTAATATTTTAGTAGGGTGATTTATCAGCACAGCAGGAACATCGGCCTCTGAGCTCCCATTCTATATACACTTGGTGGGATGAACACGCACGCACGCACAC